GCGAAGGCAAGCCCCACCCGTTTTTTCAGCTTGAAGGTGTTAGCAGAGTGATATCAATGAAATCACAATGGGGTGATTAGGAATGGGGGTGTGATCACCACAACCCAGCCATTTTTTGGGAAGGCGAAATCTCATGGCCTAGGTCATTCATATTGTGAAGAGTCTCAGTTTTTTTTGAAGAGACTCAGTGTTCATTAATCAATATGAATATGCATGCTTGTTTTATATAGACAATTACAGATGACAATAATAGAAATAAATCAAAAACATCTATACTATATCCAAACTTACCACAAAATACAAGATATTGTATCCACCCTTCAAAATATACTGATTACAATATACACTTTCCGTATTAACCTGATAGATAATATATACTTTCATTTCACACTCCCGCTCAAACTCAAGATGCTATGAGAGAGAATAGAGAATAGCTGGAGTTTGAACACTACGTTGCAGAAATGAACAATTGGATCTTCAGGTGCATAGCATGACCAGTAAGTAGTGGCATACTTAAAATGCTTGATCAACAAGTACAAAGGAACAACAGAACATGTCAAGCTCAAGCAAACAGAGCAATAAACCTCAGAAACATAAGGCAATTGGTTTATGTAAACAAAGAAAAGCTTTTCAAAAAAGAAACCACTTGGTTGTTTGACGGTGGAGAGAGAAGAGGCAACTGGTTTTGTTTGACGGAGCAAAAAGAAAGTGCTTCGAGCTCATAAATAAAAGGAAAATGAAAAATAGGTCGGAAATACTTGCTAGAAAAAAGAAAAAACGTACCAGAAATTACTGAGAAAGTGGATTCAAAAAATAAAAAAAGAGGCAGTTGCAGATTCAAATTGCTTTTAGATGGCGGTTTCTTGATTCAATCGGATGTGATATGATTAAGGAATAACTGAGTAACAAACTCGTCTTGAAAATCGACGATAACAGTACATGGATGCATAATGAACATGGAGAATATAAACCTAGCTATGATACATGTGAAGAGTCTCAATTTTCTCTTAAGAGAATCAATTTCCATTAATTAATATAAATATACAGACTTGTCTTATATAGACAATTACAAATGACAATAATAGAAATAAATCAGAAACACCTATACTATATCTAAACTTACAATCTACACCTTCTATAGTAACATGATAGACAATATGCACGTATTTCCCCACCAGCTTGATGAAACCTCTGCAGCTTCTTTTTCAAATCGGAAAAGAAAAAACGAGGACACTTATTAGATGAAAAGGAAAAAACACCATCCCTTCTCCCTTTGGACAAATGGAATTATGAATCGAAAAACTTGTCTCCTGGATTCTATTATCCGGGTCAGCTATTTTGCTGTTGGCCTGAAGTCCTTCTCTCCATAACTCAAGCCCAAGAAAGTTCAAAAAAAGAAAGAATAGGTGTATGGTGAAAAGAGAGGGTAAAAACCCTTTTTACAACCCGTAAAAGCACAACCTTTCATCATGTCACAAAGACCCATAGTTTTGTCAAAAGATGAGTGTTAAAAATTTACCAGGAATGCCCCATTCAAGGCCATAACGATAGGGGTGGCAATAGGTCGGATTTGGTTGGGTCCGGACTTGGACCTGGATTCAAATCCGAATAGTATTCAGATCCAGGTTTTGGACCCGGCCCCAACCCGTTGGATTAAAAAATTGGACCCATACCCATACCCATTGTCAGGTTCCGGGTCTGGTCAGGTCGATTGTCACCCTCACAATGAGTTTTTTTTTGTTTTGCCCTTATTTTACCATTATATATATATATATTATTGGCAACAAGGTCACAATCATCTACTATTAGATTTCAAGTTCTATGATTTGTTGTTTAATAGCTAAAGATGACTCTAAGTTTTTATTGTATACAATCCTAAATACACCCAAACAAATTAGGGATTGAATTATTTTATTTCCAACAATTTATGGGTATGGGTCGGGTCTAACTGGACCCCGACCCGAATAGAGTTCGAGTCCAAGTTTTGGTCTTGGACCCGACCCCCCGGGTCCAAATATTGGACCCATGTTGGGTATATCCGGAGGGTCCTAGGTCAGATCCGGGTCCATTGCCATCCCGAAGACATGTTTCGCAAGAAGGCCAAAATTAAGCACAAGACTAATTTTCGAACACCCACCGAGACATCTCTATCACTCACTCGTGTCTTACTAGCACTTACCATCACTTCTTACTTTTAGGTCACCGTCTACCCTTTTCTAGGGTTGGAAACGGGTCGGGTATGGGTTGGGTCCAGCTAAGCTTAGATCCAAACCCGAATAGATTTGGGTCTAAGTTTTGGACCCAGACTCAACCCATTGGGTCTAAAAATTGGACCCATATCTGTACCCATCGGGTCCCGGGTCATATCCATCTGGTCTAGGGTCCATTATCATTATTATGGGCTTCGTTTTTTTTTTTGCCTTTTTTTTTACCATCATATACTTATATTATTGGTAACAATGTCACAATCACCTGCTACTGGATTTCAAGCCATGTGATTTGCTGTTTAATGGCTAAAGATGCCTACTAGTTATAATTATATACGATCCTTAATACACCCAAATGAATAGGGCTTAAAATAAAATATTTTATCTCTAACAGTTTACATGTACGGGTCGGGTCTAGTTGGACCCGAACTCAAACCCAACCTGCCAAGTCCAAATGCTAGACCCATACCCGAGCCGTGTCGGGTACACCCACCAAGTCGTGGTCCATTACCACCCCTACCCTCTCCTTCTGCATTCCCTCTTCTCATAACCCTAGTAAAAAGAAGACCTCACCGACGGAAGCCTTGCCTGCGGCCCATCACCTCTTAACTCCCTCTAGTTTCTTATCTACTTCCTACTTCCTTCTCCATCTTCGAGAAGTGGGGAACCACTACTCGCTCTACTTTCCTGTAGTTTCTCTTATCTCAGCATGTTAAATTTGGGTGACCAGGAGCAAGTCACAAGAACACTTGGCACCACCCCTTGGGAATGATTAGGACCAAGTCACAAAGACAATCAGCATGTTCCAAATTCCGGTTACCGGGAGCTAGTCATCAACACCCTCAACACCTATATGAATTCCAAATTCTAGTGACCAGGAGTAAGTCATCAAGACACTTGGCGTCTTTCCAAATCCCAAAATTTTAGTGCCTTGGGAGCAAATCATCATGACATTCGGTGTGTCGGTGAGCTCTAAGGACAGCTTCAAAAGTCACATTCAAAGCCCTCATCAACCCACCAAAAAGAAACAGCCATGGTACTAGAAGGAAATCACTCTTTCTCGTTTCGAATGTCATGCTTTTCGCATCAATCTAACATGTGAGATTCGAAGGGATACGCCGTTTGCACGTATTTCTGACACACATGGCAAACCCATACCAAAATGCCACTCGGGAACTGAAAGACAGGTATTAGGATGCACCACTCGAATATGAAGGTGATGGAGGTGCTCCACAAAAGCGACAGCCCGTGGCAGCAAACATCCAGGCTTGTCGTACCAGCAAGGATCTGGCATGCTACACAACCAAAAAAACTGCTGCAGATGAAGAGTATGGTAAGAGTTTGACTCCAAACTTAAGAGACTCTCATTCATTGTGTATGCCAGAGGGTCCCCCCGAATCAAAGCTATATAACCCAACAGATCGACCCTAAACCATCACAAAGATAGCCCTTAATGTTCCCAAGATACTCCCTTAATTTTAGCTCGAAAGAGTGTTGGGGTGAGAAGATGTGAAAGGTCAATATATGGATCACCGTACACACGCTGTTCTGGTGAGGCCAGATTACAAAAGAACCTTTGAAAATCAGCTTTTCATGGAATCAGGCCCCTCACAAATGAATTCAAAAGGCCCAAATACCTTAACCCTCAAATCCCATATCATTTCGACATCGTTAGCTGAAGGATTGGTGGTCTTGCATACAATTTGCAAGTTAACAAGTTAGATCAAACGAAATTAGACCAAAAATCTGAAGCGTTGCCCGTTTTCGGGCAAACTTGTTGCCGCAAGTTAACAAGTTGGATCAAATGCCATTTATATTTTTATAATGTTTAAGGGCATCCCAACAATTATATTCTTGCTAATTCAATACGCACCCTACCTCTTATTGTGACATAATGGCGGTATACCTAACAAATCAGTAGGTGTAACAAATCAGTCGGCTCTACGTTTTCTTAGAAATATGCAGTTGTGTGGTTCAAATCTTGGGCCGATGCAGCAAGGAACATCTTAGCTTCTTTTGGAAGATCGCTTAGTACTAGGTTGGATTAGATGTCTACTTGCGAGGGCACCATTTATCACTGAGCATCCTACTTCCCCCTATCTCTATTCCGAATCACAGTCATATGTATCCTAATTGGTATTCTCAGGAATATGTCCTATGGATTTTAAGTTCTCCAGGACCAAGAACTTACTCTAACCAGGATTACGAACACTATATATACCGATCTCCATTGCTTGGATAGCATGGGAACATATGCAAAGATCGTCATCAAACAAAGTTAGAAGTATTGCAACTTGTGAGTTACCTCACTATCGCTCCCTAGGAAGAATTGATTGTTTTTAGGGGGAAAATGTATCTTAGCCTTGAGAACCAGCATACCCCACCAGTAGCAATTTGGCATTCATAAAGGAGCGAGAACCGCACCCCCATCTGCATACACAAACTATCTGAAAGGATAATGTGTAGGCATGGCCATCACAGTGCTGGTGAATGAGTGTTTCCCTCAACATACACCACCCTCCCCCTCTTATTTATTTTTCTGTTTCCCTAGTCCTTGGCTTGGCCCCTTTCCTCCTAGCATGAATAAGTGCCTCCAACTCTGGACTTGATGGCAACTTGTGTGTTCTTGGAAGAATCCGCTAACCGACCCATGAAGAGTCGTGGTAACACACCCGCTTCTAAAACAATCACTAGAAGCAACCCATTATCCCATTGGACCTGCTAGAATCATGAAAACCTGAATTCCTCAATCCCCTCATTCTCATCTATTTGTGAGTCATTTGTTCAAAAAAAGAAAGACCAAAAAAAGCTCAATTAAATTAACCATAGATAAAATTCAGCCAGTTTTACTTTACAGCTGTTTTAGCAATCGATGGGGACCATTAAGTACATTGCTTAAATGAGAATATATCACATTTAATCTGCAACTGTTCATAAATTGAATTACTACTGAGCCTAACCTACGCTGACTCTCCATGGCAGCACCAGGTACCTTAGAATTTCTCTTCATCTGATTGCGAACATGGTCCCGTAATGGAGTCCACAAAAAATTCTGCATCTGGATTAAAACAAAAGTTTATAGCATCTCAGCCAGTTAGTTTCAATAATAATCAGAACCATGGCAGAATCATACATTTTAAATCCAATCCACCAAAAGCACGGAAACTAAAATTTCTAATGGGGTAAAAAATATCTATATGGTTGAGGTAGGGCACTTTTGTGATTAGAATATTGTCCTTATTTCATATAAAGCTTCTGTTAAATTTAGAGAGCTTTTGCAGGATTTCAGCCATATCTTTTAAAAACATATCCTATAACCCCAAAAAGGAAAGAAAATCAAAAGTTAAATGCTGTATCTGAAATCATCATGACATATTCGAACCATGCATAATACGAGAAAAGCTTTCTATAGAAACGTACCAAAAAGTATCCTGAAATTTATAATAAAGCTAACAATAAATAAACTCTTCAAAAAAGTTTATCAAAGGAAGTGAAATGAAAAGGAAAGGGAAAAAATTGGATCTTGAAATCAAATTCTAAAAAGTGAATTTTGGATAAAGTAATTTGCAAAGGACAATGCTAGGCAGTCAAAGCACAGCAAAGCAGGCCTGGCAGGCAAAAGTTAAATCAAGTTGCTTGCATTTCTACAGCGACTTTTTGATAACCTAATTCTTTGTGATCTTTGAATTTTTGAATCAATGTGCATTTTTTTGGATTTTTTTTTGAAGTATCCTTTGTGAATTTCACTTTACATATTCAGTAACAATACCTATATCATCTTGCTCAGGAGAATTGAGCACAATATCAGAACTCGAGGGCAGAAATGGTGAACCAGGGTAGTTCCCCAAGTCTCCAAGATCTGCACATGAAAAACCCAAAAAAAGAAAAGTTTCCAGCAAAGGAATCAGAATAGATATTGGCAGATATTCTGAATTTTGACAGAAGCAAGGCATTCAAATTTCCAAATAAATTCTTGAAGGAACTGTTTTTCTTATTTTATAATTTATACGAGGAACTATCATTAATCTAATGGAGACCAAAAACACCTGATTTTTTCTACCAAGGGAAAAACAATATCACAATCTCTCTATTTTTCCTCAGGCTATGAAGCCCTAAAAAACCAGAAAGCATGTTGTTAGAGAAGATTTAAGTTTCCACCAAGCATGCTCGTTAAAGCTATAAGTAGAGGTTTGCCTTTGCCTGATAAGAGAGAAATTGCATTTCAGAAAATATTTACGAGAGATCCAAATAACTTCTTAAAGTATCCCCAACCAAAAAAAAAACAAAAAAACTCAAATACAGCACTCACATACTTGACGAAGAAAAAATAAATAAATAGAAACAGTTGAATCTGCATCTACAAAAGAAATGAACCACAGTATTGTAACATGTGTTATGAAATAATAGACCAAGAAATATAGATTTATCTCGAAAGCGGCATGACATTCCCTAGTTTAATATTTTTCAAAATTTCAATAAAATTTGGTTGCACCACTTGGAATGAACAGAACAGCTTAATGCCTGAATTATGCTCTTCTGGTACCCAGTATTGCTACCAAATAGTAAACACTATCCAAAATTTGACAACACTAAACTCAGGAATGTCGCGCAGATTTGACAGCAGAAACACAGAATTTGTTAAAAACAGGTACAATGCGCATATTTTGCCAAGTATCACTCAAAACTCAGACACTGCACTTTGCATCAAATGGCAATAAGGGCCAACATATATACATTGGCTAATAAGCCCAAGATTTCAGAAAATACATTCTATTAGTTTTTTGGAGTAGCCAAATAACTTGCATTTTAGTCTGCATATTCTTTCTGCTTTCACAGAGAGTTTACTCCCCTTAGACTGCAGTATAGCTAAATATAAGTCAGTTTTTTAACTTACTAGCAGTTTACTCCCCTCAGACTGAAGCAGTACACGAGTCAGTTTTTAACTCACTAGCCCCACAAAAAATTTGGAAATCTCAAGCATAGAAACTTGATAGTTGGTACGGTCTGCGTAGAAAAGCTAACCTTTTGTTTTTAAATATATGGAAAAAGGTTACCTGATAAGTTTGTCAAATCTGCAGTTAGATCTGAGAGACTAAAATTCCATGGGATCTGTGCAAGCGATCTGAGAGAGTCCCTTGCATTTCCGGCAGCCCCATCTGAGCCCAGTTGCAAACCGTTGGAGGTTGCCACTTCAGAAGTGAATGGAACCTCAATGGTTGACGACTCAACCCCCATGCCTGGAATCTCAGCGGGGGTGAAGGGAAAATGGCCACCTGATGTCACAGATGCAGGGCTCACAGGCATATCTGACATTGATGACATGGTGCTCCCCTGAGGAATAGCACTCCCCACCTCACCAGCACCAACATCCATCATGTTACTGAAAAAATAGTTAGGACAGCATTCGATTAGAAGCATTGCTATAGCCGAAACTTCTGCCATTTCAAGTGTCCTAAATATTCTTGTTATGACACCCTATGAATAGAGGCCAATGATACAAATTGAGAGATAGAGTACTGAATTACTTGTCTCAGATAAATTAAGAGGCAATCATCACATTTTTTTTTTGAAACAGTTAACTTTGAGGCAATCATCATTTCTGCAATGCAAGATGTATTAATAACTATAGAAATTTCACCATCAATTTGGACTTAACAACAAACAGATTTCATTTGGCCATCGCTGCAAATTAGGGCGTGAAGACTCATTCAAGAAGTAGCCATGTATGGGTTGAGGGAAAAGCACACTGAAACATACAACCTGCTAGAATTATATGTGACAGCCACTGGTGCTTGCCTTCCATCGCACAGAAAAAGGGTGGGGGCTAAGGTCATTGTTGCTTTCTTGGGGAACAGACCCAGGAAGTTATATGGTCCTAAAAACAGTGGCATTTCTATAAATCTTTGATGGGCATAATGGCATTTTTGTTATATGCTGATGTCATTAGTTTAGTTTCCCAAAAATGAATTCTTTGAAATCAGAAGAATAATCAGTTACCATCTAAAGAATACGCGGCAATCCAATGTCAATTACTTAACCAACACTACAAGAAATTAAATCGGTTCATCAGATATCGGAGCAATTCCTTACTCATTTCCAGCATTCAACCGAATCGGATGGTAAGTGCCTGGTGCAGGTACACCATTCACAACATGACAACTGGATAGGCCACAAGCCATTGGATCAAGATGAGGCTGGCCTGTAGCAGGCATTGGAGGCTGTTGCAGAACTGGATACCCCATAGGTAAGTTGTTAACTGCACTGCAGACAGGCTAGAATTGAATAAGGATGCTAACAAAAAAGAAACTAAATTAACAAAAATAAATAAATCTTAGACTGTCACATATCGAAATCTGGAGAAAACGTAACATCCACCAAAGTTAAAAAAAACAAAGATATCCATAAATATTTTGGAAGAGGAAAATGATGACCCATTTTCCTTTGCAACATTTCAACATGCTCGCAGCCATCATATGTTTTGAAAATAAAATATTCCATACAGAATAGAATCCCCAACTCTTCTCCAACATGTTAAAGATCCTGGGAAGAATATGCAATTCAATCTCAAGTGTGCAAGTTAATCTTTTGGATGTCATTTGGTAAGTTACCGAAAATTTCGAGCAGGCAGACATCTATGGAAAGTAACAGTGGTTCTGTATTGACTGCCAAAGATATAAAACACCTATACATGAAATGAGAAATAAGATTTCATACTCGAGGTAAGATCCCCAATTCTTTCCGTCTTCTTAAAATTTAATGAAAAACCAAACCCACGAATGCTCGCAAACTGAGACAGGTTACCCAAGTATCGAATGAATTTTATAAGCCTCCAATAGAGCACACCCTTACGCATGCACACTCGTTTGCAGGTGCGCACACATGCACATGTGCGCGCACACAGTGAGAGAGAGATTACCAGGCATAGGATGTATCCCATTCTGTATAGGAGCCAATGGAACTTTTGGTGGTACTGGATACTTCATAAGTCGATATTGTTGCTCAAGCAAATGATTGAATAATATGATTTGCTTTTTCAGCTTCAGCCTTATATAGTAGGCCCTGAAGAAATCAGAATTTTCTTCTTCCAGTTTCTGCCATACTGCACACAAATTTACAAAAAACTTTTCATCAAGGAAGAGCCAGTAAATTTCATCAGTTACAGAAAAGTGATGGGCTGATAATAGGTAAAGTAAAAATATAATGGCGTGTGATCTATTCAGAGTATAATGCAAATTCGAAGCTCACTAATGCACATTAAACAGCTTGTTAAAGGTAAATCAAATGGATGAAGTACAATTCATAAGCTTTCTGAAACAACCATATAGTCCATTTGAAAAGGAAAGTATACAGAATATTGTATCAAGAAGTACAAACAATTGGGGTCATGTAAAAGCGTTTGGCAAACAGAACAGAGCAATAAAGAAAGTAAACAGAAGAATCAATCTAATTTGACCCATGGGGATAGAGTCACCAACAATAATGCCATCAATTTTCAAACCCACTTTGGCCAACATGGAGAAGGATATTGTGGTCTACCAAGGCAATTTTTCCTGTTACATTCTTTTTCTTTATGCAGTCCCCATGGGCTTGTGACTTGAAATATCGTTCATTCTCCATATCATTTCAGGTATGTTCTCTTCTTGCATTCTATGCATCTTTGGTTTGTCCCATTAGTAAATAGCTAGTACTAGTACAGATTCTGGAATGTAGTAATAGGCCATATGGGTTGATGGGTATAGGTTATTAGAACTTGTACACCGTCCTTTATTGTTGAGGGTATTAAAGTCATCAGATTGGCATGATTACCTCATATGCAATGTGGGACCTTATTTCGAGCCAAAGGGGGAGGGCATTGTTAATCTCTATCCTGGAGTCTTGGATTGAGGTCTACGATGTGACATATGTAACTCATGCACACAAGAAAATATGACTCCGACAAGTCTGTAGATTGCATGAAGGTGTTTCTCACATAATCCAGAGTATGATGCCAAAACAAACCTAAGATTTGGGATCTAGGTACTGCTTACAGAGTGTAACCACAACTTATAAAAATAAATATAAACCATAACCTTCATCAAGATGCAACAAATTAAAAGTGCACTGCTGTCATGAGTGATGGTCAGTTTTTAACATGAGGTCAATGGATTGTGACAACTGGAATAGTTGACAACCTCCAGCTCAAACAAATCGATGAGCTCTCTCTCTCAAACATGTGTTTCAAACACCCCTCCCCACCCCCCTCCCTACTTCTAGTGGATATTGAATTTCTCTCCTGCCCCCCCCCCTCCCTCTCTCTCTTTCTCTCTCTCTCAAACATGTGTTTCAAACTCCCCTTCCGCTCCGTCCCTCCCAATAGTGCATATTGAATCTCTATCTCTCTCTTCTCTCTCTCTCTCTTTCTCTCTCTCTCGAGTGCATATTGAATTTCCCTCTCTCAACATGTGTCTCAAACTCCCATTCCCTCCCTCCTCTCCCACCAGAGTGCATATTGAATCTCTCTCTCTCTAAAGCCCTCCCTCCCTCCCATGCATAATGAATATCTCTCTCAACAGAATGCATATTGAATCTCTCTCCCTCTCTCTCTCTCTCAAAAGTCCTCCCTCCCTCCCGTGCATATTGAATCTCTCTCTCTTCCCCCTCTCCCTCTCGCTAGAGTCCATCCTCCCTCCCATGCATATTGAACCTTCTCTCTCTCAACAGAGTGCTCCCCCCTCCATATTGAATTTTCTTCTTTCTCTCTAGAGTGCATATTGAATTTTCCTCTCTCTCTCTCTCTCTCTCTCTTCCCACCCCCACCCTTCCAGGGTGTCAAATCGAATTTTCCTTGTCTTTCTTTCTCCCTCTCTCTCTCTCTAAAGAGTGCATATTGAATCTTTCTTGTCTTTTTAGGTTCGCTGGTAGTTTGAGTAGCTGACATCCCCAAATCTTCGGGGTGCTAATAATACTCCTGGCTAGGGTTCTCATAGGAGGAGCACATGTACAGTTTGCTCCCCAGGGAGAATATAATCTTTTCTGAGGAGAAATATGAGTTCGATAGTTATGTTATGAATATTTTATTTTCCTAATAAGTTTTTCAGACCCTGGCTGATACGTTAGGCCCCTAAGCTTTTTGAGTATAAGCTCTAGACGTGTGGGTAGCCTTGTTGTATAGGGAGTTATCCACATGTGAGTAGCCTTTTTTCTTGTTTACTTCTGTACAGAAAACCTTCAGTGTAAGCGCATAAAGACTAATATATACCATCAAATGACAAAAATTAATTGAAGCAAATAAAAGAGAAAACGTTATCACTTGTTATGTGAAGTTAGTATCTGTCAAGAAAATTAATAAAGGGATAGTGTAACAGGAACTAACATCATGCAATGAAAGCTTTAGTGGAAAGAGGCCCAACCTACCTAGAGTTGTGAACCCAGGCTCTATTCTTGCTCTGGTGAGGAGGGTCTTTACCACCTCTGCCCTATTCATATATAACTGTAGACACCGTTCTATTAGATTCTGGACCTACAATATCATTGTGCCCAAGATGTATTAGAAACAAGAGTCAAATGAACAAAACATTCCGGAAAAAAAGGCTCATTGGAAGTCCTCCAATGCCATAAGTAACAAAATTAAATATCAAGGGCACCACCATAGATTTCTTACAAGTTCGATGTCTTCCCGAGAAACTTTCCTATTGTCACTGCTTGAAATAGATACTGAGCCTGAGTCAACTACAGGGCCCTCAGTTGCAGTAGCATTATGTTGATCTGCTTGAGAGTCGGGTGATACTTGTGATGAGGATTGTATTTCTGTAGTACCCTGCGGTTGATCCTGCAAGTCATACAAAACCGTACACGGTTGATTTCATCAATGCAAGCGAAGGGTGAAGAAATAAGGCTAATTTAATATCTCAGTACTCAATAAGAATTTTGAGGATTCCCTTCTAGTTTATAGAAGTAAGATGTCCAAAAATTTCTTTTATTTTCTTAGCTCATGTTGTCATTAATTCAAGCACAAAGGTACACCAGTGTAAACAAGAACTTAACATTTTTTTCATTAGAAAATGCTCACAGTTCAGTCACCACATAGAAAATGAAATGATTATTTGACGACAGCACTTATTGCTAATTCGCACATGCACCCATCCATACACAAACACAAACATACACACACACATACACACACACACACACACGCGCACGCACACACACACACATACATGACCTGGTAGAGCAATATTGATTTTGATCTTTTGATTTGATCAACTTTTTGTAACGTGCAAAGATTTTTATGAGTAAAACTGGATTTATTCTAGTGGCAGAGGATAGCGCTGAATATTTGGAAGGTATCTTACCATTTTATTCATGAACCACTTAAATGCAATGAATCAGGCCTAACGGTTGTGACATATATTGTGCAATGCTGAAATGGAAAGACAGGTGCAGAAGTAATTCCAGGCAAAGGTAAGCCTCTAACAAAATAAGGAAGCACGAGTCATCACTAAATCCATCAAACTGTTGTAAAATATCAAACAGGCAGGACCTGCAAGGTCTTCATTTCAGTTCAACTGCATCTTGAATGCATGATCCTTGACAAAAAAGTATGGATGCCTTCCAGACTGATATTCAAATTACTGAGAGATGTCCTCTAGAAACAATTATGAATAGCATAAATTTTGCATTTTGATAGGTAACCACAGGTGTATGTCCTGCAATTGCAAATAGCAAAAATTAGAGATAGTATGGGAAGATAATTGCTTGAATAAAAAAATATCAATACAATAAGTGCTTTCCACAAAATGTGTTGATAATGAGTCCCAAAAGTAGAACTTGTTAATCATGAATTCACATCTAAATAGGATGACTAGATCAAGAGGAAAATTGTAAAATAATAACAAATGACTTAAAACACACTGTGCAATGAATTCTTACATCATTTTAGCAAAACATACAAGATTTAAGGGAGATTGGCAAGCCCTAGTTACAGGAACCTTGCAACCAGGATGTCACTGCCACTCCAGAAACTCAACCCTTGGATGAAGGACCCATGAGTTCTAGGAACAGGAATTTTAAGAAATCAAGATCATGTCCCACTTACAATCAGGGTCTGGATTTCTAGAATTCATACTAGTGAGACAAGTTATACGTAAGAGCAACTTTCAAGAGATGCAATCATGCATCCTGTGTAAGACAAAAAAAGAGAATTTGACTATTTATTGAAGAGTGAGATATTGAATTACTTGTATTATCACAGAATGACTCACTCTACCAAATTATATATATTTATACAGAAGGAAATTCAGTCATTTGTGTAAATAAAGACATTTATGCAAATAGTAGAATGACAAAGAAGCTTTTCGTTAAGAGTGAGCAAGTAAAATGAATCTCACTTAATGGTGACTGATCCAATGGTCTTATATTCAAATGAGTGAACCAAAAAACAGCAAAGAGGCATGTCAAGTAATCTGACTCTCATTTAGGCGGTTGCTTGGCTGCCTAGGAGGGGGCCTAGGTACTAATTGGGTGGGGGGGCATTATTTTATACTAGGTGGCAGCGTGGCTACCTAGGCAGGGGCCCACGTACCATTTGTGTGGGTGGGAAGGGAGAAGGTTGGGGGCTACTAGGTGGTTGCGTGGCTGCCAAGGCAGGGGCCCAGGTATCATTTGGGGGGCATCTGTTTGATATATAAAATATATAATATACATGCATATATATATTGAAAGAAGTGGCTATGTGGAATTCAAGGTATAAAATTTTTCCTTTTCTTTTATTCAATATACATAAATTTCACTTACATGGGCCACTAAATACTGCTGTAAAGCAGTATAAGGAGAGAAAGAGGCTTGTGTGAGAGAAAAAAAATATGGGAGAGAGAAAGAGTGGCTTGAGAGAAAAAGAGGGGCATCTCCTCTCTTTTACTTTTTTTTAAGTACGTGAACAATAGAGAGGGAGAGAATTGCTTAGGGCATGAGAGACAAATCTTGTTGTCATAAGAGAGGGGGCTCAAATCTTGTTTAAATAGAAACAAGATCCATGTCCAAATTTTAATAGGATTCTAATCTAAGTATGCCTTATATAATTTTCAGCTTGATTTTTAAGATAATTAAGAAGTTTGTGGGGTGAGAGAGATTTAATCAGAGCCATCCATCCCACATATTTGAGTGAAAAATAGGAACTTTATCACCTTAAAATTTGACCAATACCCAACTCTTATTTAAATTTAAAATATAATCCCATATCAATATCTAGATATTCAATAATGTTTTTAAGAAATCAAGGATAATCTATATTTTAAAACTCCCACTAACATAAGAAACCAATTCTCATTCCAAAAATTAAGAGATTTTCCATCTTTAACTAATTTAAAACTGGAACAAATTAAAATTATGGGGCGTTCCCCTTTTTTGCTAAAAATGTGGCATGCCATATTGTGTTTAAAAAATGGGCATGTCCCCCTAATGTGTTCACGTTAGCCCAACATTAAAAAAAATGCACACACATGTGGGGTAGGATCCTTAGTCCCACGTGTCATCTAAAGTTCTGAAACTTTCAGAATTACCATTTTAATGAACATTACAACAGAAATAGTATTTTAAAATTATGAAAAAGTAAGTTAAAATCATAAAAACATTTCTAATACCAAAACAAAATATACTAGGAGTAGACTGGTACCAATGGTTCAAAATAGCGACAATAAGGGTACTCTACTCATCCCGAGAACCATAATCCACTATTATTTTCTCATCCAACCCAACAAAGACCCGTGACCTATAATCTCATTTTAGGGATGATGATTGGCTTGTCAAAATTTGACAATAAACAATAGGACCATGATCCAAGAATGTAGATTTCAACTTCTCCCTTTAAGAGCAAGCCTAACACTTGTCACAATAGTGCAAACATGGCTCTTTCTATACACATGGACACAAGTCCCTCTATAGGGCATCTTCCTAGTAATGCGGTTGTCATCTGTATATGCCGTGTGGAAGTTTGTTGAGGCTTTGGCCTTTTCTCTCACAGGTCTACAAGCGCACACAAAGAGACTACACAACTCTCCTAGCCTATAAAGATCCCTCGGCATCTTTACGACGATAACAAGGAATACCTACTGTAAATCCTGGTTGGTAGTGCCACATGCTCAGGGGTCAGGGTTTTGGACATGACCAGAGAGCCATAAACTGCCCAACCCTTGGTTAGTTAACACACACTCCCACTGAAGTGCATCATCATCATCATCATCTTCATCATCATAGCCTTTTCCCAATTAATTGGGATCAACTACACGAATCTTGGTCTACCATTTTGCTCTATTTAAGGCCATAACCTCAGAAAGGCCATAAGTCCCTATATCTTTTTGGACTACTTCCAACCATGTCCCTTTTGGCCTACTCCTTGCCTTTTTCAAACCTTCCATTTAAACTAACTCGCACCTCCTAACAGGTGTTGTACTGGGTTGACGCCACACAAGGCCAGCCCACCTAAGTCTACTCTCGCTCTTATCTTATCACCTATTAGTGCCACACCTAAACTTTCCCGAATGGATTCATTTTGGATTCTGTCCCTTCTAATCTTACTACTTGTCCCACTGAACTGCATATTCCACTATAAAATACCATATTGACAAGCTCTTTAGGCCTTTAAAGGCTGCAAAACCCAACACACAAATATACATATAGGGTTTTACTAATGTCAACTCCCCATAAAATTTTCTAGGTTAAATATAAAAAGGGGTGTGAACTACCAAAATTACTTTAGTTGCTTATTTCGTTATTCATTATTATACGTGAGTATGGGTACTATGTCATTAAAAACTGTAGTATTGATAATTGTACTAAATACAAAAGGTATGTTTTTCATCTCGAGGATGACATTTTTGAAATATTCCTTAAAAGACAAGGGCATTTATATTAAAGTACCTAGAACTTCACTCTATAATTATTGCCTTTTAGCAAAAAATATCAACAATACCCTTCTTAATGATAAAAATGCCCATACTCATTTTATGAAGATTGAATAATTAGTGGGGGCAATTATGGTAATTTTAATAGTTCACACCCCCTTTCTAAATGTAGCGTATAGGACTTTATAAGGTGTTAACAGTAGAAAAAATGGTGTTGTGTGTGTAGGGCCTCGCAGCAAATACTTAATGTTCATCTTCTTTCTTCCTCATCTTTTTCTTATCGAATATATTGAGTGTGAGAAACTCTGCCATGGCCTGTCACAATCCGGTCATGCCTGTCTGTCCCAAGCCCAGATAAAGGAGGGTTGTGTTAGTTAGGGGAGCCAACGTAAAAATTTGCCACATCTTTTCATGAATTCTGAACCTATATGATGGAACATGATTTGTGTAGCCGACCCCAAATAGTTGGGATAAGGCTTAGATGATGAATGATGATGATGATGACATATAGAGTGTGAGAGAGAGCATATGGGCCAAGGTGTGTGAGAGAGAGGTCTCACACCCAACACTTGAAGAATATGTTCATCTTTTCTTCTTCTTATATGTAAAGAGAAAACATGAATTTGTGAGAGGGAAGCCTCACATTGAACACTTGGAGGTCATCTTCTCCTTTTATTTCCTATTATATGTAGAGAGAGAGTATGGGTCCATGCATATGTTTGTGTGTGCACGAGAGAGTCATGCCCCACATCGAACACTTGGAGGCTCTTCTTTTTTCTTATATGTTAAGAGAGAGCACATGGGCCCGTAAGCAATAGAGAGATGGGCCTTAACCATTTGAATAGCCCTTAATAATCTTTTTAGTATTTTAAGGGGGCACGTGTCTTCTTCTTTTTTATTTATTTTTATAAGGTACAACACTAGGCGTATATGGTTTTTGGGGGTTAGAATGCCCCTCAAAACCCTTTTCCCCCCTCTTTAAGGGTAAAAAATACTTTTAAACCTCGTCAAGGGCATTTTTATTTCCTTGACCAAGTTGTATTTAGGTGCCACTTAGGAGCACGCCTGCCTAGGGCACACCAAGGTGCATTTTAAAGCATGAATCTCCAATATGAGAAGCTAACAACACTAAAGTCTTGCTATGAATGAATTGCAAGATGAACCAAAATCCTAATCATCCTTGTGTGGCAATAAAATATAACCTTTAGGTAGTGCTCAGAAACCATCTCCAACAAGCAATATTAAATGAATGAAGAGGCTCAAAAATCATCTCCAATAGGACCAACAATATTTTTTAAGACTACATATATTTAGTTTTTTCTCTAGTTTCCATTACAGGGTCCTTAATTGCATAATTTCTAACTAGAATCAAAATCTTTTTTTTCTAAATAATGCTTTTTGGGGGAGTTGTTGGATGTAACTCTCACATTCCAATTGGACTCACCATAGTGCATGGGCAACTCCCAAGCAGAGCCCAAGTGTCTTCTAACATTTAAATGAAATTTCCAACATCATAAAAACCCCACAATTTAAGTGAGAAGTTATCAAATCGATGAGCTCAAAATGGGGAGATTCTTCTATTAGAAGGCACCACTACCTTTATGAAGACCATTAAGACCATAGTTATAAAGACCGGACTGGACCACTCTGTCTGATTGCCTATCGATTGCATTTTTGGTCCTATCTAAAGTAAAAACTTGGTTTGGTCGAAAACTAATCAAGATTAGTGTTTGACTGGTTTTAGCAGGTCGGACCATCCGATTTTGACCAGTTCGACCGGCTAAACGAAGTTGAGAGATCTCTTTCTAATATATTTCATATTTTTAAACCATTATTCTTATTTATTCTTAAAATCTGGTCCAACTGTTGACTGGCACCGACGGTGGTGGTTGACTTGGTTTTGATTGGGCCAGACCCCTCACCAATTTGATGACAGGTGCAACCACAAGCTCCAAGGCTGCAGCAATAAAGTTGTTTACTGAAAATAATCATTTTGGGAATCTTCCATGCACATGCATCAGAGGCTATACTTTCTAACTTATTGGCTTGGTGTTATTTTATTACGCATTTTTCATAATGCGCAGAAACCATTATGTTGGATCAAAACTTTTAATACAACATTGTAGATGGATCCATGTCAACAAAGACAATCAATTGTCACCAACAAGTAGCATCTAGGGCAGCACATGTACATTAGCACCAAGCCAAGTCATACAAAAACACACGTAACTTGTGTATTGTACAGTTGCACATAAACTTTTTTTTTGCACATTAGCACCATATCCCAACACATTTTCTCCAAAACATGATAAAAAAAAGTACTGCATAAGCATTTCTTGGAAAATTAGTGCACATAGCACCAAGTGTACATGTGCCACTGCGAAAGTAATTCACACACATAATGAGGTGACAATGTATTCCTTGCTCCAACTTACCAATCCATTACGAAATCTACTTGGGAGGGTGCACATAATTTTAATATCAACCACCTAAAACCAAATGTATTTCATTATTGTTGAATCTCTCAACCATATTCTGAAGACATTGAAAGAAATACATAAGGTACATGAACCTGGACCAAATTGACTGTAACGACTACATTTAGCGTGTCACTATCATCATCATCTAAACCTTGTCCCAACTATTTAGAGTCAGCTACATGAATCTTGTTCCATCATTGTGGTCATGGGTTCAAGATTCATCAGTACATTAGTGTGTAGTAAGCATAAAAACCAAAACCATGAGGAACACTACAAAACATAGAAGCCTGAATATTATAGCATCAAAAGGAAATCTTACCATCAACTCTATAAACACTTCTTTGGGCAAAGAATTTAAGAAACAATCATATGGTAAAATATGACTTGCACAAGGCATAATGTGGCTTCTTTGTCTAGGACACATAGGATTTCTAACTAATCTTCATTTCCATTTCAGATTATTTTTTTCCTTTTCTTTTTTTCGTGTTCAACCTGTCATCTCTACTTGTTAATTAAGCCATTTGTTTTTAATAGTGTCCAATGCTAAATTGCCTCTTTTGCGATTATTATGCTCAATACCACATATAAACATAGGCCTTTCTATAGACCCCCAAGCACTTATGTGGTGCACTTTATATCGCATCTCATACTCATCTTCACGTTAATCACAACTTCAAATCCTTTCTAATTCGCAACTTCTACCATAAATGATGAAAACTTCCTTTTATATTCTTTTGCCAATTTCTGGAATGATTTTCAGAAGCAAGATTTACAGCAACATAAGCATCTGGAAGGAAGCGCACAAGCAGAATATTTCAATAGAAATTTGATTCCCTTACGCAAGTTATCGCCATATTGAAGGAGAATCAGTCCTCAAAGGTATGAATGACCGCTAGTATGGTAAAATTCATTAATGAAACCACTTATAATAAGAAATATAAAGTATCTCTGGCAAGACAGGAGCACAACAGCTGCCGGCCACCATAGTGCTTGCCATAGAAGGTAAGAGAAACATCCCCTCACCCTTGCATTATTTTATCATCCGTCATAAAACAAGCCTTTCCAGCTACATTAATGTCCATCCAATACCAAAGATTTTTTTTTTTTTGATTGCCAACAATTGTCTGAACCGGCAAAAATAAAAAAAAAAGATGGTGTGCGCATTAGTTGCAAAAAGTCATGAAAGCAATAATAGAATAAAGTAAGAAACACGAATTTTGTTAGTTCATCAATAATAAGCTACATTCATTTTCCATATTAAAAACCCATACGACTGAACGATAGATGAAACCGTCGTAAAAAGCTTCGAATAATCCCATACACCATTTACACTAGAAAAGCATTCCATAAAAGCAATTAGAGTCAAGTACTGGTTAGCATTGAACCGTAAATTTAATATATCTTTAAAGCATAAACTAAAAGTCGCTCCTTTTCACTGTTTAAGCATTTCATAACAGCAATTTAAAGCAAGGATAGGTAAGCATTTACCGATTTACCAATAGAAAATATCCGCAACCGCATGCAAATGCTCCTCAAACTTGGTGTCGACAAATTAAAAACCAGCTTCAGGTCATCTTTAACAGCCAAACAGTAAATACCAATTAGCAGCATTATTTATAGCAAAAGGAAACTTCAATCCATTAGAACACGCTCAAAAAAACCAGTAAACACAAGAAAAGTGAGGTATCCCTCTCAAAGCTTCCCTTGCATTTTCCATTTCCAATCATTTCAACCAAAACATTGACTATGAACTCTGTGTCAAATAAAACATCTACTAATAGAAAACACAGTAAAAATACACAAGATTTGCAGAAAAAATCCATGGATCTAACTTCAAAGGATGCATGCAAAAAGTTTCTCCATTTCTTAGAAGAATTTAAAGAAATACTTTACAGAAGTGCGATGATACCTTAGGGACCTTTTTGATGAACCTTCAAAGCTTCCATAAAAAGAGACAAATAAAAAACACAAACACATCAACAAAAACAAAATAAAAAAGAAAGGAAGAAAGGGCCTCACCAACCAAATTAAGCCACTGATTTGCTATATTTATACTGCTCTTGTAGCAAGGGAATCCCGTGGGTGGCTTTGGGGGCTCCGCTCAACTTGGAGCTGAGCTGAGAGCTCGGCTCGGCTCAGCTCAGCTCAGAGTGTTTTTGGACATTTTCGCGAATTTTAGCGATTCACGGTAGAAATCTTGTGACCTTCCCAAGAAAATTAAAAACTACCCTCTTTATATCACGTAATAACGAAAAGCCCCTGAACCATAAAAATATCTTAATGGCCTTTTTGTCAACTGTGGGAGCACGTGGACTGCCAATTTGGGGAAGGGAACGCAAGGCTCTAAATAATCAAAATAAAGCCACCTTCATATAGCATTGAAAGATGTAGTTTCGATATTAGAAATTTTTGTGGTGGTTTGAAAATTTATTTTCATTCATAACTATAAAATTTAAGCTTTAAAAATAGTGTAGATTGGATCTATTAACACTTTGAAAATCTATATTGGAAATTTTTGTGATGGCTTGGAAATTTATTTTCATCCATCACTATAGAATTTAAGAATTTAAGCTTCAAAAATAGTGTAGATGGGATCTATTAACACTTTGAAAATCTTGGAAATTGTTAGAGTTCAAAAATGCATTATAAGATGCACTATTTCCAAAACTTGAAATTTATTTTTTTCTCATGTCTATGAATCTTGAGGTCGAAATGATCAATTTGAAAACTTTTGAGCATCGAAATAATCTTTTATAGTGAAATTTTTGAGGTGCACTTTAATTTGGTTGTTTAGAACATCAGAGTAATATAAACTTTTTCATTCCAATTTGGAAAAGTATACAATAAGACCTTTTACTTTTACTTTAAGGGGGTCACAACTAATCTTGACCATTCCATGTGAAATTAGGTAGTTGCATTAATTTTATTGACTAAGTTTAAATTTTTTTTTTTTCAAACTTTGAAACACCCACGAGCTATCAAATTTCACATCGGATGGTTATTAAGTAATTGTGACATCCATGTAAAATAGATAAATAATCTCATTGTATACAATCCCACTTAGCTTTGAGCATCCAAGTTTCAAATATTTTTCTAGCACTACGCTATGAGTGGGTATTTCCTCCACTCCATAATTCATCATAAAGTTAAGTTGGAGCTAGAAGATTAAGGAAATATACATGTTAAGACTATTTATTTTCCGTGTAAGGAGATTACAACTATTATTGATCGTTAGATATGAAATCAAGTAGCTGAGGATGCATCATTGATTGTATAAAGTTTAAAATAAAATTTCTTGAATATTGTGACACGTTAATCTATTGGATTTTATATCAAATGACTAAAAAAAATTATCACCTCCTTATACCAAAAGTTAATGGTAGTATACAATCCCAATTATTAAAGACTTGAGCATTTGCACTGTATGGAGACCCTTCTTGGAAGTTGTTCATACATGCTATGTTACATATACACAGGCATCGTACTTTTACTTACTTGGAAACATGTTAAAAATTGTCAACCTCAAAATTGGCCTATCAAACATTGTATATTTATAAATCACCTACAAAGATAGCAATGTGAGATTATAAATGAATTTAAGTAGTTTCAAATGCCATTAAAAAATAATGAAGTAAACAAAGTGTCTATATTTGTAAAGTAACAAGCAGAACTATGTCCGCATATGTCAAGAACCATGGACATATGCGAACATGTATTAGAATATATATATATATGTGAAAGAGACGAAGATGAGAAAATATATAAGAAAAATATATAAGAAAAAACAAAAATAAAATAGGAAAGTTCCTAATGCTCCTGTGAACTACCTATTTCATTTATCTCATGAATCAACAAAATCAGGAAATACACCAACTCCATACTGTCTTCCCTGTTTTCCTCCATCTGAATTTATGACCCAACAAGAAATAAGGAAAGAGTTATTTATTTACTATTTTTTTACTTATGACAAAGGCCCTAAGGGTTATGATAAGTACAAGATGGTCCTTGATAGACCAAGGTATTAAATCTTGCACGGCTTTTGCTGCTCCTACAAGCCCTACCCCATGGCAATGATTCTCAACACCCCCTCAGAACGAACTCTCTGCTGCAGATGCTGAGTCCTTTGAACTCAGTAAACTATGTATGCTGTAAACCTTTTTTGAACATGCATGTAGTTTATTATTTTTGTTGCTATGCGCACAAGGTCAGTGTAATCCATTCAACATTTTTTCCCAAATGAAGTGGCTGTGTACTTCAATGTATTTTGTCCTTGTATGAAATATCAGATTTTACGACACACTAATTTTTTCCCAAGATTCTTGCTTCATGTCATCCATCAGTTACATTAGTCACATGCACTCCTGAGCTTGCATAAATGCCAATTAGCACCCAGCTTTTGTTGTAGATGAGGACATCATGGGTTGCTTCCTGCTACACCAAGAGATCGCTCCCAACCCCAACTGAACAACAACCTTGTAGTCAATCTGTGAGTCAACATGTTGCCTGCATAATCCACATCACATGACCCGACTACTTCACATGTGGAAGCCATCACATGGAAACCATATTACATATTGCAACAACCGCTTCCAGATGAGGATTTCATTGTCTATGTATAAACCTGCTCACAACTCACACTGCGGAAGTAATATCTGGTCATGAAGGAGTCAAATACTGCATAAATAATATCTGGTCATGAAGGAGTCAAACAAATGAAGTAGTTGCCTATACATTCATACATCCGTAAATTCCTTCTTGAAATCACTTCTCAACTTTCCATTAACTTATGTGGCTGTTGAGATAGCTTTGGAGTTATCCATCCCAGACTTGCGTAACAACTCCATTACATGCTTATTTTCTTACAAGAACAGCGCCTTTTTGCATGGGTCTACCTCCATATCGAAAAAGTACTTAAGCTCCTCTAGCTTCCTCATCTTGAATCTCACCAAAAGGTCCTCATGACTGTGATTGACCCCAGTTACATCATCACCAATGACGATCAAGTCATCCAAATATACAAGCACAATGGCCAGCTTTCTTGTTCCTTCACAAATAAACTTGAATGTATGGATGCCACAACGTACCCGTTAAACACCGAGAATTTAATGATCTTATCGTACCAGGCAAGTATGAAAGCATGTTATAGCTACCACAAATGCTACAACCTTTCGCTGTATTCAAACTCGCGTGGCTACTCCATGTAAATTTCTTAATCTAGCTCATTGTGTCAAAATACATTCTTCACATCTATTTGCCAGAGGTTCTATGCTTTGATTGGCAATTAATACTCATAATTGTAATCTTTACAACTGGGCCGAAAGTTTCATCAAAATCCACAACGTATTGTTGTAAAAATCTTTGAGAAACCAATCATCCATTGTAGCAATTAACGACCCTATCTGACAACCGCGCATCTTAGACATGCTTACAACTCTTTCTACAAGGACTCATGGTCTTTGATTATTTGAAATAAATTTGATGAAAATTCATAAATTTGTAAAAATTCAAAGAAAGAAAAAACATACAAGTAAATTTCACAATCAACAACGTTGTAATATCAATTGCAATAATTTGTGGAACTAGAGCTAAATGCTGAAAAAATATTTTAGTAAGCCATAAATCCCAATTTGCACTTTAGAAAAGGGGCTGCGTCGTGGTGACAGTACCCCCATATCTAGTCACTACATTGTGATTTCCAATTCTGACACCACCTACTAACACCTTCAAAAAAGCTACAGTTTTCAATTCAAGCTATGATTTATTAAGGGGCTTTCTTTGGGGCTCAAGGAGAGAGGTTAGGACCAAGGGGAAGAGAGTCTCTCGTTATGGCTTGCTAGGAGAGAGAGGTTAGGGCTTTTTCTTTGGACTTTTTCTTTGGGTGGGGGTGGGGATGGGGATGGGGGTGAGGATGGGGATGGGGGTGGGGGTCGGGGTGGGGCGGGGGGAAGAGAGTATGTGAGAGAGCAAGAGTGGCCCCACTTGCTTTTATTGTTTTTGGAGGGGTGGATTCCGATAGTGTTCCAACATGCAACTTGCTTCTTTTTTTTTTGAAGTACCTAGTTTGGATATCCAGCTTTTAGTCCACTTTTAAGAAAAATAAAAAGGTTGCACTTTGAATGTCCGGACCCTTCATGGGATCATCTCTCACTTACAAAAAAACAAAGAATAGGAATGGCATGTGGTCAAGTTGTAAGGTGCAGAAAATTCAATGTCTAGAATTCCATACTTCAGAGGTCCAAGGAAATAATTAAACAAAAAAAGAAAAAAAGGATTTGAACACCACGTCTCCTAACTCGGGGTAATTCGATAATAAAAAATGAGGAAAAGGGGAAGCCTAGCATAAGATGCAAAATAAGCCATCCTTTTTCTTAAGGAACAAGTTTATATAAAGCTCAGGTTCTAAACAATCAAATTAGTGCCCACCTCAAAAATTTCACTAGATGTTGTTTTGATGCCCAAATATTCTCAAATTGATCATATCAGCATCAAGATGCATGAACATAAGAAAAGAATGGATTTCAAATGTTGGAAATAGTGCAACTTGTAACGTATTTTTGAACCGTCAATTTTCAAGTTTTTCAAAATTTCATAGATCTACTTGATCTACATAATTTTTGAAACATTAAATTTTATAATTAAAGATGAAAATATATTTTAAGACTATCATAAAGATTTCTAGTATTGAAACTACATTTCTCGACACTATTTGAAAGTGTGCTTTACTTTGATTGTTTAGAGCCTCGACTCTATACAAACCGCGCCCATTTCCTAAATTTCCATCATTTAAGGGGATTTATTAGTAAGTTTCCTTTTTTTTAAGATTCATTAATAATCTCCAAAAAGTGACCACCCAAAAGCTCATGGCTGCAAAGGATAATAAAAGGAAATTATAAAAAATACACATTAATATATGGCTTATTGGAATAAAAGCCTATACTTTCTTAAACCTCGTCCATACCTTCTTCACTTCTTTTTTTTATCAAAATAACCTTCACAATAGTCGTATGACCGTGAAGGCATCACGGTATAGTAATTATTATGATGATCTTAATATTTTGAAGCATCATAATACTTAAAATGTTGTGATGATCATGAAAAGTATTATAATACTTAAAATGCCGTAATGATATCTTATAATAATAGCAGTAATAAAACAACCGTGATTATTTCTAAACTTATACTCCCACTTTCTTCTCCTTCCTTCCCATGCTTTTCTTTCTCCCAAAATCTTATCTTTCCATTCATCACTCTCTATAACTCCATCTCTCTCTTTCTTAACTCCTCTCTTTCTTCCTTAGCCTCCTCTCTCTCTAATCTCTTATTCATTTAGTCTGATGAGATGAGACCTATGAAAGAGAAGAAGCCCCAGTTAGAGAGAGAGAGAGAGAGAGAGAGCGCCAGAGAGTAAGACGAGTTAGACGGCCTAGAGAGCCCTGAGAGGAAGAAACGAGAAAGCGAGGAAGAAATAGGGTTTCTGATGTCGTTTTATTACTGAAGACCACCACTATATTTTATGTACCGTGATACTCCTTGTAGTAATCACGTCATTTTAAATACAATTATATCTCTTGGTTATCACAACATTTTAAGTACCGTAATGCCTTCACGGTTCTATGACTACCATTAAAACTATTTTGCTCACAATAACACAAAAAGTGAAAAAAAAAAAAAAAGGTATGGATGAGGTTTACGAAAGTATAGGTTTTTTTTTCTAATAAGCTGAAAATTAAAATATATTTTTTATAATTTCCCAATAATAAAACAATAAAGCAACGATTTTCCTTTCTTCCCCAGCTACACAGCCCAAAAATTAAGAATAATAACAAATGAAAAATAATAATAAGCACCCTTTTGTTATAAAAAATTAACAATACAAAATGAAAAAAAAATAATAACAATACAAAATGAAACAAAATTACTAGTCACCTTTTCTTATGCTCCCCCCCCCCCCTCCTCTCAATTATGAATAATAAAAAATGAACAAAATAATAGTCACCTTTTCTTATGCTCTCTCTCAAAATTTTGGCCCCCTCCCAACCCGAAAATCAGGCCTCTCGTCTTTCCCCGCTCTTCGTGTTATAAGCCCGCTGGCTGACAAGCTTTGCAATGGCCTGGAAGGTGTCCTCGGGGCCTCTTCATCCTCCCATCCATCGCCCCATCCTTCATCCCATCCCACCTCCAAATCCGGTTTTCCTGGCCCTGAGATCGGCAAATCAGTCTCCACCTCTTGGTACTTGACACCACCAGGTCTAAGCTTATTACAGCAGAACCAGGTTCCACCAATAAACAATAACATAGAAGATAGAACCGACAAGTAAATGACTGTGGTTCTTGTGCCTATGGTGCGGTAGGTAAGTCGTTGGAAAAGTGTGGGCTTGCTAGACTCAGGTAATACCACGCCACGGAGATCAAGTATGCAGCGGCCTTTGCCGGTGGTGAGGACTATTGCGGAGTTATCATTGTTACTGATACCGATTGAGACCTTCACCTAGGTCATCAAATCCATGGTCATACGTAAATATGCATATCAATGTGTGTGTGCATCTATAGTGAATAGACATGAATATGAATAATATGTCTTATCACATTGGACATGTATCATGAAAACCATATGCTACGTTCCATGCGCTTTCAAAGTAATGGAGTTGGAGAAAGCAACCCATTTTTGAGTTTCATGCATCACATGTCTCTACAATGAATGTATGGTGCATGCATAACCACACTGTCAACAAGCATACATGCTCATAAGATTGCAACCTTCACACACAGCAGCATAAGCATGTGGTCAGCTGATGAATCGGCCCAAATGTGGAACAATACACAAATTGAGAAGAAATGATATTTTAAATTGCATTGTTAAGATAAAAGCTGAAGTCTCTATGCCTAGGTACAAGGGGCCAAAAGAAACAGCCTCCGCAGTCTTTTTTTAGCATAAATAAGAAAGGCTCTTCAGATCTGGGGAACAAGAGAACCTAGACCAAGTCAGGTCAAAGCTAAGTATGTGAACCTGCAACTCAGTGTCATACTGTGCTGCGGCAATTCTCAATTAATGCACATCAATTGGCAACACGAAATTATTGGCAGGGTTTACCGCTTACATGCAGGACGTCCTCGAGTGTCAACAAAATAGAGTATGAATCCTTTGACACAAAACAATAGAGAAACATGCAAGGAGACAATAGAGAAAGTGCTTACTGTTAATCCTCTGCAGCATAGATGGTTCTCCCTCCCAAACAGATGTTCCTTGTGCCTCAACAAGGAGACAATAGAGAAAGTGCTTACTGTTGATCCTCTGCAGCATAGATGGTTCTCCCTCCCAAACAGATGTTCCTTGTGCCTCAACACGGAGGAGACAAACTCCCACTTGTTCCTCTCATGCCTGTTTGCATTCAAAGTTTGGGGGAAGATCCTTTCTCTCTTCAGCATGCAGTGGGTTATACCCAAAGAGGTACCCTCGCTACTAAGAGTCTTCGAATCATATCCCTGGCCCAAGGCTGGGATCTTTCTATGGAAAACAATGGTCGCGGCAACTGTTTGGGCTCTTTGGACAGAACAAAACAACATAATCTTTCGTGGGGAACTAGAAACTCCGTCTCTCATGCTCTCTAAAATCAAGGCTTGGGTAGCCTTTTGGGCCATAAATCACAAACTTCCAAGGTGCCTCAACTACAGCCTTCTACCAAAATTGGAAAACTCTTCTGCACTATTCCACGAGGAAAATTTCTAGAGCTTCATACTAAACCCCAACCGCTGGTCATCTTAAGCTCAACTTCGATGGATGCTCTTTAGGCAACCCTGGCCCATCAGGAATAAGAGCTGTTCTTAGAAACCACACCGGCTCCACGGTAACTTCAACCACCAAGTTTGTAGGCCATTTGGACACAATGGAGGCAGAAGCTACTGCACTGTTAGAGGGCATTAGATTGATCTAACCCTTCTCAAACTCGCCTTTTATCATAGAAGGCGACTCAAAGAATGTCATTGCCTGGGCCAAACATCCCTCCTCTATCCCTTGGGTCTTAAACCATATCTTTGATGAAATATTACACCTATGCAGGCGACTGACTGTCGAATGGAGACACACATGGAGGGAGGGAAACCATGTCACAGACGGCATGGCGAAAGCAGCGGCCGCAGTGAAGATATATGACACCTCACCAAGTGGGGTTCTAGTTCTGTAACAGCCATTCTAGAGGCTTCTCTCTTACGCTGCCTATTGTACCTGTACTGTTTTTAGCTCTCACTAGCTTTCTCTAGCTATCCCTTGTGGATAGCACTTCTCTCTCTCCCCTCTGTAACTCTGCTATCTGCCTGTGGATAGCCCCTCTCCCTCTCTTCTCCCTGTACTCTTCTTTATTATATATATAACAGTTAACATTCTCAAAAACACAACAACAGAGAAACATGAACATCATTCCTTTGAATAAAACAATAGGGCAAACATGAACATCATGATACACAATCATATCAACAATGTTCCTTATGGGTTTTCCTATATCCCAGAAAGGCACAATGAACAGACTTAGGATCCAGTTGTCTGACTTGAATGATGTGGAACACCACAAGTAGAGAAATGCTGTCTAGTGATGTTAGTGTCTGCACAACAGTGATAGTTTGGAGAACAAAAATGGAAGTTTGTAAAAGAACAGTTCTTAATGCAGCTTTTGCCTATGCATATGTAATGTCAAGAATTTCTATTACTTAGTTGGTTGTGTGTAATCAAAATGCCGGCTCCATTATCTTCTTACTAATGGTCTTTTATAACATGATTAACTGGAAGCACATATTTGGTCGTCCTGTTTTAACATGAATTTAAATAATCCATATGCAGTTTCAACCTCAGGTGGAATGAACAATTGGTGGTTTGGCAGTATCACTTGCAACTCTAATAATTTACATGCCATCAGAGCAAGGCTACTTGTGTTCAAAATAAACCCTAAATGCTTGGTCTGAAATCCCAAGCACAGATTATAGTACTATTTCAAGGGATCAACAATAAATCCGGACTTCCAATAAGATTCATGAATTCCCTACCTTTATCTGGCAGCCAATGGCAACCAAGGGCCAGTTTGGATAGTGTGTAAGTCCTCATATACAAGTGCATGACTTACATCTCCTTTTCAATCCCATATACATATATGAATGGTTTATACTTAATTATATAATGTATGAGTTATACCAAAAGCATCAATACATGCATTTACAATAGACATGCATCTCTATTTATACATGTAACACCATTGGATTTCGAGGGTTGCTCAATCAAAGACGAATGGCTCCCTAGATCCAGAATACAATCCAATCCTATAAGGGTTTAAGGGTAAACCCTCAGTTGAGGTCAGTGTGTGCCCCATGGTCAGTACCGGAATCGCATGTTCCCATGTAGAAGAGGAATCCTATGGATATAGCCTGGTCCACAGCATGTGCATATGACAGGTGCATTAGATGCAAAGCTGCCTTCCTAGAGGGTGCCAATGAAGGGATTGCACATGTGCAAAGAGAGGGAACCCCGCATCCTTGTGTGTTGCTTAGTGTGCTTGTCCTTGTGGTGCACTTGTAGTCCACTAATTCTATAACTCCACTACCTATTGGTCGGCTTTTACGGGCCTCTGCTAGAGACTGTTGATCATGAGTCCCGTTGAGTCGATTTGATAAAGTCGTAGAGGGTCTTAGGATAAGTTGTGTGGGGTGCCTTAGATCAGTGGATCCAAACCCAAGGCTTCCAATTTCCCTAGATGATTTTCTTAGAAGGCCAAGCCAATTTAATTTCATTAATTATATTTAAAAAAGATTTTTAAGAATTTTTGGGTTTTTTTCTTGATGAGAAATCTTTTTTTTTTTTATATTGTTAACATTGTATAGATGAAGTAGAGTGAAACAAAAGGAGCCCCGAAGGGAGGTGCAAAAAGGTCACTGAGAAAAGTGACAAAAGCAGCCCAAAAAGAAAACAACACACGCAGAAACCATCAAAGAAAAGAAACATGAAAAAAGGAAAGAAAGCCTTCTTACAAACAATCCCCAAAATTAAAACAGAGCGCTAAGAGCTAGGCCCAACAACTACAGAAGCCCCGAGTTTGGCGAGATAATCTGTGACGTGGTTCGCCTCCCTCCAAATATGCCTCCATGAGACTTGAATATGCCTACAAAGATCCTGAATTTCGCCAAACAGGCACCAAAGTCTCCATGGTGGTTGGGAAGTGCAAGACGCCCAAGAGATAACATTCTGGGAATCCCCTTCGACTAAGAGGAGGGGACCCCAGGAGTGGTTGTAACCCCTAAGACCTTAGGGTAGCTCCCAGCTTTCCGCCTCGGTGGAGTCGGTAAACCTGATAGACGAGGAAAAGGAGCACAAGGAAATACCCTGGGCATTCCTGAAAATTCCGCCCATTCCTGCAGGACCAAGGTTCCCAAGCGACGACCTGTAGAAGTTGAGCTTGATGACCCCCCTATTCGGGGGCCTCTAGGGTGCTGAGCGAGGCACCTTCTTAGGCCAGTGGCTAAGGACATTTGTCCAATTGGAGTGGAAGTCGGAAGTAGGGAGGAATTTGAAGTGACTGTGGTTAGTGGCCCAGAAAGTGACAAATGCGCAGATGGTGGCTTTAATACTGGGGGAGGAGGCAAAGAGATCCTTGAAGATCCTATTGTTCTTTCCTTCCAAATAGTCCAAATGGTGGCGGCAAGGGTTGCTTTCCAAAGCAAGGGCCCAGAATAGGGCCACGGGAGACAAGAAGAAAAGTTGAAGAGTTGAGGCACATTTTTGGGTGTGACCCAAACCCACTGAAATAAAGCAAGAAAGTCCCACCAAATGGAAGCAGCTAGGGAGCAGTGGATAAAGAGATGTGCTTTGGTTTCCTCAGGCTGGAGGCACATCACGCACCTATTGGGTAAGGCAAATCTCTCGTACGAAGCTGGTCGACTGTTAAGACTCTTCCCCCAACAGGCCAGCCAATTGAAAACCTGATTTCTGGGTGGGATGAGGGAGCACCAAGCTGTGGCAAAGTGAAAGACCCGAAGAAATAGGAGGAGGTTGTCCACCTGTGCTCGAGAGACATCAAAGAATAGCAGGATATCGTCCGCATATTGAAGATGCGAGACTGTGGGACCTGAGGGTCCAAATTTAAAGCCTGCAACTAAACCAGCCTCATAGAGCCTTTCCGTTGACCTGCTAAAAACCTCTACAACAATAGTGAACAAGAACGGTGATAGGGGGTCACCTTTATGGGATTTAAAAACTCCTTGAGGGGTGTCGTTAATGATTATGGAGAAGAAGGCGCCTCTGATGCAAACTCTTATCCAGTTTCTCCATCTAGACCCAAACCCCATTCTCCTCTCTGTCTCGTCAAGCAGCTCCCACTCCACATGGTTGTATGCCTTCTCTCAGTCCAATTTGACAATGAGACCAGGGATTTTGGACCCAAATTTGAAGTGTATGCACTTGTGTGCCACAAGGGCTCCATCCAAGATTTGACGGTCTTTAACAAAAGTGCT